ATGGTCTATGTTCACTCATTACACAAAGCTTCATTTAGAAATTTGTTAGTGAAGAAATCTGGTTTGTTAAGTATATGTTTATACGTCATTTCAAGATTCCATAATGCATTCTTGAAGGTTTAAATATTTTAAGTTGTTTAAGAATGAAAATATTTTGTGTATTTTGTACAATTATGTTAAATGTTATGTAAATTGCCTACGCGCTTAGAGAGAGAGAGAGAGAGAGAGAGAGAGAGAGAGAGAGAGAGAGAGAGAGAGAGAGAGAGAGAGAGAGAGAGAGAGAGAGAGAGAGAGAGAGAGCAGGATAAACGAGGAAGAGGCAAGGAAGAGAGTCAGGAGCTAAGCACAATATTTTGAAAGTATATATGTTCTTAGTAGTATTGTGACATGATATAACACATCTCCAGGACTATCTCCTTCCACTCCCTTGTGGTCAATCCATTTCTGAATTTTAACTGCCATCATCATTATCATTATCATCATCATCATCATCAATATTGCCATCTTTGTGTATCGTCAAATAATGTCGCCAACCTTTTTTTTTATTCATTATGATTCAATATTCTGAACTAGTCCTACTCTGCTTTCTTTGTTGATTTGCTCCTTCAGTAGTCTCCCACGCCCTCCCACTCCCACCTTCAGTAGTCTCCCACGCCCTCCCACTCCCACCTTCAGTAGTCTCCCACGCCCTCCCACTCCCACCTTCAGTAGTCTCCCACGCCCTCCCACTCCCACCTTCAGTAGTCTCCCACGTCCTCCCACTCCCACCTTCAGTAGTCTCCCACGCCCTCCCACTCCCACCTTCAGTAGTCTCCCACGCCCTCCCACTCCCACCTTCAGTAGTTTCCCATGCCCTCCCACTCCCACCTTCAGTAGTCTCCCACGCCCTCCCACTCCCACCTTCAGTAGTCTCCCACGCCCTCCCACTCCCACCTTCAGTAGTTCCCATGCCCTCCCACTCCCACCTTCAGTAGTCTCCCACGCCCTCCCACTCCCACCTTCAGTAGTCTCCCACGCCCTCCCACTCCCACCTTCAGTAGTTTCCCACGCCCTGCCACTCCCACCTTCAGTAGTCTCCCACGCCCTCCCACTCCCACCTTCAGTAGTTTCCCATGCCCTCCCACTCCCACCTTCAGTAGTCTCCCACGCCCTCCCACTCCCACCTTCAGTAGTCTCCCACGCCCTCCCACTCCCACCTTCAGTAGTCTCCCACGCCCTCCCACTCCCACCTTCAGTAGTCTCCCACGCCCTCCCACTCCCACCTTCAGTAGTCTCCCACGCCCTCCCACTCCCACCTTCAGTAGTCTCCCACGCCCTCCCACTCCCACCTTCAGTAGTCTCCCACGCCCTCCCACTCCCACCTTCAGTAGTCTCCCACGCCCTCCCACTCCCACCTTCAGTAGTCTCCCACGCCCTCCCACTCCCACCTTCAGTAGTCTCCCACGCCCTCCCACTCCCACCTTCAGTAGTTTTCCACGCCCTCCCACTCCCACCTTCAGTAGTCTCCCACTCCCCTTGCTAACTCGGGTGTCTTAAATATCAAGTTATCTCAACAGTCTTTCTTCCCTCCTCTTTCTCTCCGTTGCTCCCGCAGGTACGGCATGGCCTTCGACGCCGCCCGCCGGAAGAACGCCACCAGAGAAACGACGGCGACGCTGAAGGCGTGGCTGAACGAGCACAAGAAGAACCCCTACCCGACCAAGGGGGAGAAGATCATGCTGGCTATCATTACCAAGATGACGCTCACCCAGGTACGTCTTGGTGAGGGGGAGGGCAGGGGTGATGGGCTTGGTGGGGGGAGGGGAGGGGTGATGGGCTTGGTGAGGGGGAGGGGCAGGGGTGATGGGCTTGGTGAGGGGGAGGGCAGGGGTGATGGGCTTGGTGAGGGGGAGGGCAGGGGTGATGGGCTTGTTGAGGGGGAGGGGAGGGGTGATGGGCTTGGTGAGGGGGAGGCAAGGGGTGATGGGCTTGGTGAGGGGGAGGGGAGGGGTGATGGGCTTGGTGAGGGGGAGGGGAGGGGTGATGGGCTTGGTGAGGGGGAGGGCAGGGTGATGGGCTTGGTGAGGGGGAGGGCAGGGGTGATGGGCTTGGTGAGGGGGAGGGCAGGGGTGATGGGCTTGGTGAGGGGGAGGGCAGGGGTGATGGGCTTGGTGAGGGGGAGGTCAGGGGTGATGGGTTTGGTGAGGGGGAGGGCAGGGGTGATGGGCTTGGTGAGGGGGAGGGCAGGGGTGATGGGCTTGGTGAGGGGGAGGGCAGGGGTGATAAGCTTGTGAGGGGAGGGCAGGGGTGATGGGCTTGGTGTGAGGGGAGGGCAGGGGTGATGGGCTTGTTGAGGGGAGGGCAGGGGTGATGAGCTTGGTGAGGGGGAGGGCAGGGGTGATGGGCTTGGTGAGAGGGAGGGCAGGGGTGATGGGCTTGGTGAGAGGGAGGGCAGGGGTGATGGGCTTGGTGAGGGGGAGGGCAGGGGGTGATGGGCTTGGTGAGGGGGGGGCAGGGTGATGGGCTTGGTGAGGGGGGGAGGGGGGGAAGGTTGGGTTTGGTGAGGGGGGGGAGGGCAGGGGTGATGGGCTTGGTGAGGGGAGGGCAGGGGTGATGGTTTGGTGAGGGGAGGGCAGGGGTGATGGGTTTGGTGAGGGGGGGAGGGCAGGGGTGATGGGCTTGGTGAGAGGGAGGGCAGGGGTGATGGGCTTGGTGAGGACAGGGCAGGGGTGATGGGCTTGCTGAGGGGGAGGCAGGGGTGATGGGCTTGGTGAGGGGGGAGAGGAAGGGGGAAGGTTGATGGGTTTGGTGAGGGGAGGGCAGGGGTGATGGGTTGGTGAGGGGAGGGCAGGGGTGATGGGCTTGGTGAGGGGGAGGGCAGGGTTGATGATATCAGGGGGAAGCGCCAAGCCATCACGACTATATAGCACTTGGAAGGTGGTCAGGATAAGGATTTGAGATGGGACGGTGGGGGCGGGAAGGAATGATTCCCAACCATTTATGGACGGTCGGGGGATTGAACGCCGACCTGCATGATGCGAAACCGTCGCTCTACCATCCAGCCCAAGTGGATGGGCAGAAGCTAGGGGGGGGGGGAATAATGAAATCAAATATTTCTGTTATCAATCAGGTCGGTAGACCCGGACGATGTGTCCGGTGTCTGACGCCGTTTTCTACTCATTCCGGGAGTTGAGGGTCATCTTAGGGTCAGGAAACATGTCCGTAAAGGTCGACGAATTTCAGCAGTCTCTCCATGGTGCTTTCTCTCATTTTCTTTCAGTATTAAAAAACGGATCATCAACGACAATCTCACTATATTCTGTTTAACATTTGGCGTTCTCGTGAGATCTGTTTATTTATTTTCATCTTTCTCATAAGAATTTAACATTTTGGTTCAAAATTTCTTGCTAATAGTTTATAATTCCCGTTTGCATCCAGAACTATATGAAGGGCAAATATTTTCCCTGTTTCAACTTACAATAATAATAATAATAATAATAATAATAATAATAATAATAATAATAATAATAATAATAATAATAATGGGCTAATTATTTACAAGTTGGCTTTTCTCCGACCGTTTAAACCGAAAATGGCCAAACAGAAAGTTTGTCCTGAGCGGAGACTGAGAATGGAGTCATTATAAAAGCCGGGAATTGAATGTGTTATCAGCGAGGCATCAGGGCCCGCGAGCCCGGCACTGGCCAGCATGGTGCGAACCTTGCTAATTAAGGCGACACTTACCTGAGGACAGGTAAACACTGTGTGAAGAGGGGGGAGGGGGGGGGGGGAGTAAGAAGGGTATCTGTTGAGGTGTCTTCGTAGGGTTCTGACTCTTGGATCCCGCCTTTCGAGCCATCGGTTGTTTACAGCAATGACTCCGGTCCCATTTCCCTATCACACCTAGTTTTAAAATTATGAATAGTATTTGCTTCCTCAACCTGTTCCTGAAGTGCATTCCATTTTTCCACTACTCTCACGCTAAAAGAAAACTTCCTAACATCCCTGTGACTCATCTGAGTTTCAAGCTTCCACCCATGTCCCCTCGTTCTGTTACTATTCCGTGTGAACATTTCGTCTATGTCCACTCTGTCAATCCCCCTGAGTATTTTATACGTTCCTATCATATCCCCCCTCTACCTTCTTTTTTCTAGTGTCGTAAAGCTCAGTTCCTTTAACTCTTCATACCCCATCCCTCGTAACGCGGGGACGAGTCTTGTTGCAAACTTCTGAACCTTTTCCAGTTTCCTTATGTGTTTCTTCAGGTGGGGGACTCCATGATGGGGTGGCATACTCCAAGACTGGCCTCACATAGGCAGTGTAAAGCGCCCTAAATGCCTCCTTACTTAGGATTCTGAATGATGTTCTAACTTTTGCCAGTGTAGAGTACGCTGCTGTCGATATCCTATTTACATGTGCCTCAGGAGTTAGATTAGGTGTTACGTCCACGCCCAGGTCTCTTTCTCGCGTCGTCACAGGTAGTCATTTCCCCTTCATTGTGTACTGTCCCTTTGGTCTCCTGTCACATAATTCCATTTCCATAACTTTACATTTACTCGTGTTGAACTCCAGTAGCCATTTCTCTGAGCATCTCTGTAACCTGTTCAAGTCCTCTTGGAGGATCCTACAATCCTCATCTGTCACAACTTCTCATCAATTTTGTGTGTGTATTCTTGGTTATTCCAACTGTTTAATGTTATCAGTTCTATGTAACAGAAATGTTCTCTCATGTTTGTTAATGTCTGCCTCGATCGACAGGTCTGTCTATCCCTTCTATATACATGTTTATCTAACAGTCTCCCTGTCTATCTGTCTCTCTATATATCTATCCCATCTGTCTAGCCGTATGTCTGACTGTCTATTCTTCTGTATCTGTTTATTTTTTTTGTCCGTTTGTATCTTTGAACATGTGTGTGTATCTATATCTGTCTTCCTGTATGCGTATCTGCCTGTCAGTGTGCATGTCTGTCTCTCTCTCTCCGTCACTATGGACGCGCAGTCTCTCACAGACATACGCCACCAGCATATTCACCCCCCTGTTATATCACCTCCCTCTTCTCCAACACCCGTGACCACCTCATAATAACCACCTCTCCATCACCTCCTCCAACATTGGATAATGAGCCTCTCCCTCTCTCTCCCTCCCTGCCGCAGGTGTCGACGTGGTTCGCCAACGCCCGCCGGCGGCTGAAGAAGGAGAACAAGATGACGTGGGAACCCCGCAACAAGACGGACGACGACGACGACGACGACGACGACAAGGACGAGGACCCTAACCATGGTGAGAAGGGACAAGGTAAAGACTGTCGCCCCCGTCTCTCTCACGGCCTGTCTTACCTGTATGGTATTCTTATTAACAATTAATTAATGATTAATGAAGATTAAGCCACCCAAAAGGTGGCACGGGCATGAATAGCCCGAAAGTGATGGCCCTTTTGAGCCATTACCAGTATCAAGATCTGATACTGGAGATCTGTGGAGGTGCGACTGCACCCTGCGTGACTGAAGATGTCCTCCATGTCTTATTAACGATTGATTGATGAAGATTAAGCCACCCAAAAGGTGGCACGGGCATGAATAGCCCGTAAGTGGTGGCCCTTTGTAGCCATTACCAGTATCAAAAGATGATACTGGAGATCTGTGGAGGTGCGACTGCACCCTGCGTGACGGGAGATGTCTCCCGTGTCTTATTAACTGTTGTTGTTGTTATAGATTCAGCTACTCGGAACAGGTTCCAAGTAGCACGGGCTATGGTGAGCCCGTAACTTACCTGGCACAGGAGCGGGGCAAGTAGCACGGGCTATGGTGAGCCCGTAGTGGACTTACCTGGCACGGGAGTGGTGCCGTCTTTGTGTCTTATTAACCTCTGTCCACCGGTTATATACCCACTCTTCCTGTCCCACCACCGTCTGTGTTGTGGGGTTCTGTAGTGTGTCTTACCCCCTCATCCCTCCCCCCACCCACACCCCCATCTCTATCGCCCCTACCCCCCCAACTCCCCACTAGGTCAGTACCTTAACTGTATACTTGAGGAAAACTGGTTTCACGGTTGCCTCCTTCCCTCATTCTTCCTTCCTTGAGTACACCTTAAACAATTAATGTTTGTAAACAAGTTTGACAGAGTTAAGAAATAACTCTAATTTCTTATTTGAGATCTTTGAATAGAAAAATTTGAGATCTTTTTGATAGAGTTAAGAAATAGACCTGCTGGTGATTTTCTAACTCAGGTACATTCTGTTAGGTATGGTTTTTTGTTTAAATATTTACATATGTATTCTTTTGTGTATATGTATTATTGTTAATGTATTCATGCAAACATTTATTCGTGCATTGTCATGTTTTTCTACTTGTTTTAACGTTATTTATATATTTCTTCAACTATTTTTTGTAACTTAGTTATGCCTATATATATATATATATATATATATATATATATATATATATATATATATATATATATATATATATATATCACAAAACGTGCGATATACATGCAAAAAACTGCAGAAGTAAAGAGTATATGTATGCACGCTTTTAACACATCTTCAGAGTCTTATTGATAATGGAGAGCGAGGTTTAGCTGTAGAGTTCCACCTCATAGCATTAAGCACCGAACTTTTGTGACCGAAGAGATGGAGCCCTGGACGGGCAGACAGGCAGACAGGCAGGCGGGTAGGGAGGGGTGCAGGCGGGCAGACAGGCAGGCAGACAGGGAGGAACAGAGAGAGAGAGAGACGGGCAGGCTGCTCACCTGACAACACTCCGCCCGGCTGAACAGGATCCGCTGCGGCGCTATCAGCGGACATGAAGAATCGCCACCAAACACATAGTTATCACGAAAACCTTTTAAGCTATCGTCATTATCATGTGCTGGCGAGGAGCGTCGGGCCGAGCCCAGCAGGAACACACCTGCTTCTCTCCGCCGCTTCGTTTTATTAGGGAAGCCAACCACCCCTTCTCCCCCCCTCCCCTCTCAATCAAGGATAAGAGATTAAAACGACAGGCAGACTCCGTGTAAAGCTGGAGAAGTGTCTTGTAACAAGAGGTGTCAGCAGTCAGCTCCCACCATGGCCAACCTGGGGTAGAAAACACGCCTTGTCCAGGCCATCATCCCCACGTTTTCTTCAGTTTTATGGGCCAGGGCCGCGGGGCCTCCACAACATTATACACGCACCAGAAATCGAGAATAGTTTGCAAAAGTCGGCCCAGCTGATCACAATCCTGAGCTGGGGGGATATTTATTAGGGTAAATGAGGGAGGAGGGGGAGGATGATGGGGAAATGGGGGATGGGGCGGCCGTGTCAGTCTGGTTGGTATATTTTATCCTGATGTGCTTGGTTTACGAGGGAGATGGGCGGGGCCGGGGAGTTCGAGCGGTATAGTCCAGTCCCGCAGCGTGTTCCAATTGCGTACGGACTGTGCCTCCAGACACACGCCTTTTGTTTGTTTTACTTTACCTTTATTCCTTGGCTGTGGTTCGGGTTATAATCATTCGTTTTATCTAACCGCATTTCTCACATGGTAATCCGACCGTGTATTTGTCTCAGGTGTGTATGGTGCTCACCTGTACGTGCTTGCAGGGCGAGAGGCAGCTCACGGGGCAGGACTTTTGAGTCCCTCACCTCACAATGACTCACGACCCTAGATTGATGAAGATTAAGCCACCCAAGAGGTGGCACGGGCATGAATAGCCCGCAAGTGGTGGCCCTTTCGAGCCATTACCAGTATCAAAAGATGATACTGGAGATCTGTGGAGGCGCAACTGCACCCTGCGTGACGGGAGATGTCTCCCGGACCAAGTAGTGACCAAATGGTGTCACGACCCTCTTGCTTCTTGTCATATATACTCCCCAGACTCCTCATGGTCTCAACTATCTCCTATATGAACTCTTCCTCACTACTTCTTACGGTACATTAATGATGTCTAACATTTCCATTGCTTTTGCAGCCAACCTCTCAACTTTCACTTCACTTTGTGTTCTTTTTAAAGGACTATTCCACACTGGCGCTGCATATTCTAGCACTGGTCTAACATACGTGTTCAAAGCTTCCAAGTCCGGGTGTCTGAAAGCTATATGAATGTTCAGCTGCGTTGCAGTAGCAGGTGGAGGAGCAGCAGGGGGGGGGGAGCAGCAGGTGGGGGAGCAGCAGGTGGGGGAGCAGCAGGTGGTGGGAGCAGCAGGTGGGGGAGCAGCAGGTGGTGAGCAGCAGGTGGGGGAAGCAGCAGGTGGGGGGAGCAGCAGGTGGGTGAGCAGCAGGTGGGGGGAGCAGCAGGTGGGGAGCAGCAGGTGGGGAGCAGCAGATGGTGGAGCAGCAGGTGGGGGAGCAGCAGGTGGGGGAGCAGCAGGTGGGGGGAGCAGCAGGTGGTGGAGCAGCAGGGGGGGAGCAGCAGGTGGGGGAGCAGCAGGTGGTGGAGTAGCAGGTGGGGGAGTAGCAGGTGGGGGAGTAGCAGGTGGGGAGCAGCAGGTGGGGAGCAGCAGGTGAGGGAGCAGCAGGTGAGGGAGCAGCAGGTGGGGGGAGTAGTAGCAGGTGGGGGAGCAGCATTTGAGGGAGCAGCAGGTGGTGGAGTAGCAGGTGGTGGAGTAGCAGGTGGGGGAGAGTAGCAGGTGGGGGAGCAGTAGGTGGGGGGAGTAGCAGGTGGGGGAGTAGCAGGTGAGGGAGCAGCAGGTGAGGGAGCAGCAGGTGAGGGAGCAGCAGGTGGGGGAGTAGCAGGTGGGGGAGTAGCAGGTGAGGGAGCAGCAGGTGGTGGAGTAGCAGGTGGGGAAGTATCAGGTGGGGGAGTAGCAGGTGGGGGAGCAGTAGGTGGGGAGCAGCAGGTGGGGGAGCAGCAGGTGAGGAGCAGCAGGTGGGGGGAGTAGCAGTGAGGGAAGTAGCAGGGGGAACAGCAGGTGGGGGAGCAGCGGGGGGGAGCAGCAGGGGGGGAGCAGCAAGTGGGGGAGCAGCAGGTGGGGGGAGCAGCAGGTGGGGGGGCGCAGCAGGTGGGGGAGCAGCAGGTGGGGGGAGCAGCAGGTGGGGGGCGCAGCAGGTGGGGGAGCAGCAGGTGGGGGAGCAGCAGGTGGGGGAGCAGCAGCGGGGGGGGAGCAGCAAGTAGGGGAGCAGCAGGTGGGGGGAGCAGCAGGTGGGGGGGCGCAGCAGGTGGGGGAGCAGCAGGTGGGGGAGCAGCAGGTGGGGGGAACAGCAGGTAGGGAAGCAGCAGGTGGGGGGAGCAGCAGGTGGGGGAGCAGCAGGTGGGGGGAGCAGCAGGTGGGTGAGCAGCAGGTGGGGGAGCAGCAGGTGGGGGGAGCAGCAGGTGGGGGAGCAGCAGGTGGGGGGACCAGCAGGGGGGAAGCACGGACATGTGTCATCACGGCTGAACATGAGACTCCACTTAGCCTCTTCCGAGACTCTCTACAACACTCCTCAACACTCCCTCAACACTCCCCCAACACTCCCCCAACACTTCCCCAACACTCCCCCAACACTCCCTGTTATATGACGTCTCAATAGTCACTTAATACAAGTAAGTGGACACTTTTGGGATTTATTCTAAATATAGCGATCTCTCCTGTAGGAGTTGGGGATGGGGGGGGGGGGTTCGGAAGGAGTTCGGAAGGGGGGGGGGGATGGGAGGATAGGGAAGGGGGGGGGGTAAGGGGGGGGAATCTAGATACTCTAGTGCTCCGGTAAAGTCACTAGATACAATGGTGATGCTAATTTGGTCATCATAGCGTGCTGACATTAGGGTGAAGGAGAAGAGGGGGCGCGGGGCTGCCAATGTCGCCCCTTCGGGTTCTTCTCCGTATGGAAGCTTCCCATTATTTGACTCTGATAATGGTCATATAATAATCGGTCTCTTCCTCCTGGGTGTTGAGGGAGCGTGTGTATACGTGCTCTCGCACGCGCTTGTCGACCCGAAATGGTGCCCAACCCCTTGGACACTCGGGGATTGGAACACCGACCTGCATGAAGCGAGACCGTCGCTCTACTGTCCAGGCCAACTGGTTAGGCAGGGAACCGGAGGGAAAGACGGGAGGTAGATGAGCAACAGGCGGGAAGGACAGTACCCGTCCAGCGAGCAGCCACAACATCGTACAGCAACTCGAAGCCTCACGAGCATGCAGCCTTCCCATACCTGCATGCCCCGCCACCGCAACAAGACGGTAGTTCGTGTCCAATTACTTTAATGGTCGAGATAGCCGGGGCTCGAACTGGTGTCTCCGAGATAGCGCCGCGAAGCCTGACACGGAGTTATCATGTAAAAGGACACAGGGGCGGCCGATGTGGGGCTGACTTTCACGAAAGGGCGACGAAGTTGAA